GAATCTCAGGCCAATCATTTAACCGTGTACATGAGAACTAGTCACAAACTTTTCTGGCTCTATGTTATATTTAAAATTTATTTTTAAATTTACAAGTTCAGAGTATTTATAAGCATAGATATGTAAGCTAGATATGTAACATATAGATTACATAGATATATAATTAAATCACATATCTATGTTAATAGAATAACAATTTAGATGTTATCAGTACTCATTAATATTTGATATAAGAAATATTTGGAAAGTGTATTTGACGTCACTATTGTTAAAAATGAAACATCTGATCTGTCCATTGGCACTTCATTTATTCTTTCTAATGCTTTCACATAACAGGATTCACATTCTCTTTTCCGCAAATATTTTAGGTTTGAGAGGCATATAAAGAATACTGCTTTAGAGGTATTGAGAGTCAAGTATCATTCATAGTTTATTGACATACCATTTGGTACTTCACTAATATTCTGTTAACTTAAAAATGTGATATATGTTACAGAACAGCCCTTCATTAAAGAAACACTTCATTTAATTTTATAGCTATAGTTAATATTGAAATAGTTTGATATTTCTACATTCAATTTATCAGATGCATTGTAATAAGGAAGTCAAATACATTGTATTCGCTGTAGTAATGTTGACTCACTCTATAAATGAACTCAGTCAGCATGAATTTATAAATATAAAAATGCTTTCATAAAATATTGTAAAAATTAGAGAAGAAAATTTTTAAAATTCATCCATATTAGTGCATCAAAATTCTAGTAGCTATATAAACGAGCAGAATTTCATTTTGAATAGAGAAAAGGATCTGAGAAGAGAATAGAAATCCCAGGTTATCATGTAAAAGATTATGTTTGAATAGATAGACAAAAATTAAGTCTTTTATTGTTTGTTAAACGATGATATTGGGTCACTTTTACAATAAATTTGAGGCTTTGGTCAGGGAAGATAATTTATAATTGAATTTTATCCTATTTAAGAATGATTAATCTAATTAATATAGAGATATAGCTACAAATAAAATTACCCAAAATTACTGACATATGTAATTTAAAAAATACAAAATTTTTCTTGGTTTCTTTTTGGGTCACACATGGTGCTGTTCAGGAGTTTTTCTGCTTCTCTAGGCAGAGTCACTCCTAATGCTGAGGGTCACATGGTGCCTCGAACCCAGGCCTCCTACCTGCATGCCAATCTGTTGAGATGTTGCTCTGCTCCAACCCACGGTAATTTGAAAGGTAATCTACTTCAAACTTTCAGATAATCTTGAAAATTGTCCTCACTTTAAGGTGAAAACTGAATTTCCTATTGTTTTCAGAATGATTATGCTATTAGAATGCATTTTGTTGCAAAAAGAGATAGGAAAGAAACTTTGGGCTATGGGGATACCAGGGTGGATTATGATCAGGCAGATTCTCAAGAGAAGCCTGAGTGTAGAGAGAAAGTCCAGGAGAAGCACTGAGACTTCTCGGGCAAACAAGGTGCTTTCAAGAGTGTGACTACCTAGAAGGAAAGGTTGTAGAATTTTCTAGGGCCAACATGTGCAACATATGTTTCTTCCTATAAGAGTATGTAGACCTAAGTTGATATAAACATTAGTTTAGAGACTAGGAAAATGGGTAAATGATGTATTGCCTTCTATAAAATTTACCATTAATAAAGATTTTAGTTTAAAATTGTGCAGTATGTTGTTGAGTCTTTAACCTAATTATGCTGTATAGAAAATCAGACTAGGGCTGAAGTGGTAGTACAGCATGTAGGTTGTTTCTTTTGTACTTTGCAGACCTGGTTTTGATCCACAACATTATATGTGATCCCTTGAGCCCTGCCAGGAGTGTTCCGTGAGCACAGAGCAAGGGAGCACTCAATAACTCTTGCCTGATAACCACTGGGTGTGACCAAAAAAACAAAAAACAAACAAAAAACAGAATTGTACTTAAGTCTGAGCATCTTTTCCTGAACTTCTAGATGATGAGATATATAAATTGTCAATTAATAATGGATTAAGAGATAGCACAGCGGGTAGGGCGTTCGCCTTACAAGCGGCCAACATGGCCGACTCGAGTTCGATTCCTCTGCCCCTCTCGGAGAGCCCGGCAAGCTACCGAGAGTATTTGATATGCCAAACACAGTAACAACAAAGTCTCCAATGGAGACATTACTGGGCCCGCTCGAGCAAATCGACGATCAACGGGAGGGCCTTTACCTTTACCTTTAAGAATATACTATGCTTATGAGGTATTCAAATTTCTCGATACCATCTGAATGTAGATTTTAGTAAATGTTTACATTAAAGTAGCTTTGTTTTATATACACTGTGTTAAAAATTATATTAGTTTACTCTTGTGGGCCAGGTTGATTAAAAAGTTATATGTGAGAACACTGTGGTGATGTAGTTAATTTCATGACCTATAATGTTAGTAAAAGAAAGTAGGATTTATACCAAAAAAGTTGAATTGTTGCTTATTTTTAATTAACTATCTTTAGTGTATTATTGAGTAATAATATTTTACTAACAGCATATGAAAAATTTGAGTATATTTCTAATTAGTTTCCTTTACTATTACTTCAAGTGTATTTGCTAAACTATGATATGAACATTGCATTTTCTTTTTTTATTCAAAATACATCCTATTTATTTCCAAAACTTCACTTTTCCACTACTATCTCGTTCCTGTTCTCGAACTCAAGCAAATGTGGAAAATCACCCTGCTTACAAAGCAAGGTCAGGGGAGTCCAATGCATACTAAATGAAACAGCGAAATAAAAACATAATGACTGAGACAATGATAACTGCTTCTCATTGTCTTTAAAATCATGGTTAATCACATCCATTATGATTCCCAGAAATGCAGAATTTCTAAATAGTTCCTGCACAATGAGTTCCAAAATCATCCATAATGTGTCAGCAACTTAACAAAGGGTGCCAGCTGATTGGCTACATAAAATTCCACATACTCTCCTCTTCATGTTCTTATTGAATTTGGATGTGCTTAAAATGTCTTTAATGTCTCTGTGAACTTAGTGTAGGGAGCCAGAGTGGGGAGGAATATTGTATTGCAAAAATAACCCTATCAGTTCACTCACTGCTGCCCAGAGGACCTTAAAGCTTGAACAGTCCTCCTGTGTGCATTTGTTGCTTTGTGTGTTGGTTTGTCTCCTTCTCTGCTATAGCTCAGAGTGGATATAGGTCAAAGGTACAAATAGATTTTGCTTGATTGTGGTAAATTGCCACACCAGGCATCAGACTACATTTGAGTAGAGTTCCTTTCTACTTCATTTTTAATTTACTTATTCATTTTTCTTTGGTTTCTTATATTATTGAATGTAGGGATTCAGTTCCATATTGCCATGTAGGTCCCCTGCCTGCTGCACTATCTCTCTGACACTAATCTTTTCTCTTAAAGAATGAATTTCCTACAGTTACAATGGGGATGATAAGATATAGCAGCAGTTGTTTAGAAGGTTATAGTAATGTAGCACTGTCCTCTCGTTGTTCATCAATTTGCTCGAGCGGGCCCAGTAACGTCCCAAAACAAATTCTGAGACTTGTTGTTACTGTATTTGGCATATCAAAAACATCACAGGTAGCTTGCCAGGCTTTGCTGTGCAAAGGTTATATAACTAGATTTATTGCTTTCAGTGGCATAATTGAACTTGAAATTGCTTTGAATGATATGCTTTTAAATTTCATTTCTAATTTTAAATTACACATATCAACATCTGCGTATTCATTACATTATATATACCTGGCTTGGCATTCTGATTGTGCTATGTTACAATATATAAACAATTCATCTTACAATTTCTACTTAACTCAATTTTCACAAAATTAGTGAAGGAGAACTATGATTTTTTAAAACCATTCAGAATCTGGATCTTTTCCTGTTTTATTTGAGGATCATGTATTCCTGTTATCAGAGATGTTATAAGACTCGTCCCTTTTCTTACTCTAGAATAGTGTCTAGCAAAAAACAAAGAATAGTTGTATTTCAAAGCAGGATCAGTTTGTGTGTTATAAATTTCTTATTAAAAATAATCTATTTAGTTAGTTAGGGTTACAGTAATTTCTATATTAGTGTTTGCTGCTGATAATGTTACTCTAGAACCCAACCAACATAGTGTCAATAAACCTTCTGGATGGTTCCAGTATGCCCTCTTCCTCATGCCCTTGAAGAGAAAGCCTTGGCAGGATTGAAAATTCACATATTACAAAAACTCTCAACAAAATGCAAGTTGTAGAGATCTACCTGAATATAGTAGATTTACAAAGGCCAGAGCAACATTATACTTAATGGGAAACAGTTAAAGAAGTAAGATCATACACAGTGCAAACGTGTTTAATTTTACCAGTATTACTTAAGAATGTATTGAAGTTTACTACAGGAAGAAGAAAAAATAAATAAATAAAACAGATTCAAAATCAGAAATTCTATATATATATATGGCTATCCAGAACTGATGTATATTGTACACAGAAAAACCAAAATATCTTTTAAAAAAAGTAAAAAAAATTAGTGTCAGACCATAAAATAATTGCATAGATATGTTATCTACTTACATGTAAACAAAAAATATAGAAGATAAGGAAATAAAAAAGAAAAAACCCATTCACAATGACGTAAGAAAAAAACTCAAGTCTCTAAAAATTAATACAATCCCTCTTTGCAATTCATTCAAGCAAATTATCCTTAAGATTCAAATTGACTAATGACATATAATTATGTGTCAATGTTATCACAAAAAAGTTCATGGAAGGTAAGTCCGTCTTATGCTATTTAATAACATAATCCCATCACACCCTTGCCTGCTTTTTGTACTGCCACATTTAACAAATCTCTAATTTTGCATCTCAAGTATTAGAGCATAAGGATAATTTATCCTATACATAAAATGTACTATTGGTACATGTGTTAATAAAAAAGTCAATTTTGTATCTTTTATTCTTCTGTTGCAGATACTATACACATATGCTGGTAGTTTTGAGCTCCTGTTTGGAAATCATGCAAAATCAAAGTTTTGTAACTGAATTTGTTCTCCTGGGACTTTCACAGAATCCAGATGTTCAGAAAATAATATTTGTTATATTTCTGTTTGTCTACATCGCAACTGTCAGTGGGAACCTGCTGATTGTGGTGACCATCCTGAGCAGTCCAGTGCTCCTGGGCTCCCCAATGTACTTCTTCCTGGCTTTTCTATCCTTTCTCGATATGTGCATCTCCTCTGTCACTGCTCCAAAGATGTTTGCTGACTTTCTTTACAAAAAGAAAACAATCTCCTTTGGAGGCTGTCTGACACAGGTCTTTGTTTCACACTTTTTTGTTGGGACAGAGGTGATTGTCCTCACAGCCATGGCCTATGACAGATATGTGGCCATCTGTAAGCCCTTGCACTATACTTCCATCATGAACTCAAGACTCTGCTGCATTTTGATTGGAGTAGCCTGGATGGGGGGACTTCTTCATTCCATTATACAAATTGCCTTTACTTCCCAGCTGCCCTTCTGTGGTCCCAATGTCATTGACCACTTCATATGTGACTTGTTCCCATTACTGAAGCTTGTCTGCACTGATACTTATGTCTATGGCCTTTTGGTGGTGACCAACAGTGGATTCTTTTGCATCCTAATCTTCTCCATGTTGCTTGTGTCCTATGGAGTCATCCTGTTCTCTCTGAGAAACCACAGCACTGAAGGACAGAGGAAAGCACTCTCCACCTGTGGATCTCATGTTGCTGTTGTGGTTATGTTGTTTGTCCCATGTATATATGAATATGCAAGACCTCCAATTGTTTTCTCCTTTGATAAAATGGTGGAGATATTCTACACCATGTTAACTCCTCTGCTAAATCCTATAATTTATACTTTTAGGAATAAGGAAGTAAAGAATGCCATGACCAAATTGTGGAAAAGATTAATTGTTTTGTCTGATAAAAAATAAAAAAAAAATAGACCATTAACTACAGAAAGTAAAATATCTTGTAAAAACATCCAATCATCTTGGTGTCAACTTTCACTGACTGTTCTATTTGAAAGAAGCTAATGCAATAAACAACATGCGTTAAAACAGTTAGGAAGGGTGTTTTCACTATTTGGAACATCACCTCAGAGTTCTATCAAAGTAGAAAACTAAAACACTGTGAGGCAATAAATATGTTTATGGATAAGTAGCAACACTTAGTAATTTTTCTAAAGAGACCATTTTCACATTTCATAATTGTCTAGGGAATTTTTATCCTTGAAAATTTTATTTATCTTATTTCCTAAGAAAGGAATTTGTTTAAACACTAAAATGATGCATTCAATTTTCCATTTTCTGCGCTTTTCTGGAAAGTCTCTGCACTTCATCTTCAAGCTCACTGATTCTGTCCTCAGCAGCTGTTACTCTGTTGCTGAGGCCTTCCACTGAGTTTTACGATTCGCCTGCCAGGTTTTTCAGATATGACATTTCTGTTTGTAATTTTATTTGTATTTTCCGCATTTCAACTTTTAAGTACTCTTGTATTTTATTGGTGGTGTGTTACATTGCTTCTTTTAGCTCCCTATGCATCCTCAGTAGCTCCCTTTTAAATTCCTTGTCAGGGAGGTTGTCTAGTGCTTCATTAGTGTTGGGGTCTTCTGGTCTAGTCTCTTCACTAACCAAGCTTGATGGGCTTTTGCATTGCTTTCCTATTGTGACCTGTGTGCTTTAATCATTCACACTCACTGTTACTATTGTGTTTTTGGTGCAGCTAATTGCGTTGAGGCTAATGACTTATTGGCCTAATGTGTTTTTGGTGGTTAAGCTGCCCTAGTGAAAGTTCCATCTAAGAGGATAACAAATGGTTTTTATGGGATATGGAGGGGGAGAATAACTAATAGCTAATGCAGCCACGACTCTGGGAAGGAGCCCTGGTTGCTGGGTGGATACCTGGATGGGAGGTAGAAATTTATTCCCCCGAATGTTGCTGCTATGGGTGTGTGTGATCCGTCTCAGTTCCCACTCCCCAAAATTCTAGGTTAAAAACTGGCTGGGCAAGGGTCTACTAAGTTCCATGGATCTGGGATGGAGCCATAGATACCCAATACATTCAATTTTCACTGAAGCAATTATCCAATAAAGATTCACATAATTTGAGATTCATAAGCCTTTCTTCGGCTTAGCACGAAGTTCAATTTCTTCTCAATAGCAACTAATTTCCCATTATGTAGTTAATAGACACTATGACATTGACATTTGTAAATGGTTTTAGTTGTGACTTTGTTTTAAATATTTGTGCTATGTAATAATTCTGCAGAAAAATTTAAAATTTACTGTACTTTCTAATTCCTGATTTGTCAAGATTTTTGAAAATTCTTTTTGCTTTCTCACAATTTTTTCTTGGATTTTGGCACAAATAATAATGCACTAATGTATATGCAATTTAGTTTACATAGTATAATGTGTCATAAAGGAAAAATAGCAATGCAATATTGTACAAAAACAAGTTTCCTCCAGTGTCAGATAAAGTTGTAACTTCCAAGAATATCAACAAACTAAAGAAGGATAGTAGTACAGCTGGAAGGACACTTGTCTTCCATGCTACTGAATCCAGCTTTGATCCACATGACCTAGCATGATCTCTGAGCTCTGTGAGGAGAAATCCCTAAGTCCTCAGTCTAGGACTTACTCCTGAGCACAGCCAGGTATTGCCAAAAATACAATAGTGGGTAAAAAAGCCAAAATTTGTTAACAACAACAAGAAAATAAAATTTATTGTCAATCAATTAGAAAAAATAATTTTAAATCAATTTTATAAAAAATTAAACTAAACAAAATTGAGTTTAAATTTTTCAAAGATTAAATTAGGGGGTATGGTGCAGCCAGCAGTTCAATCTGTACCTGTGAGGTGAGTGCATCAGCAGCCTGATGGCAACGTCAGACTTTCAGATACCCCAAAATTGCTGCTGTGCCTTTGGCCAGACCCAAAAACTTGGGGCAAAGTTTACCAAGAAAGTAAACGGCCAAAAGTTAGGTATGTGGGAAACACACCAACAAACCACCTCCGGCTCAGCTATAGAATTGGAGGCATGGCCTCTCTGGTTCCTGATCGAACTGCTTAATAGCCATGATCCCAGAGACTCAGAAACAAATCTGGAAACCCAGCGGCTTTTGGCAGAAATGCATCCTGTTCCTGCAGTAGGTTACTGGCGCTGGGCCACTCCAGGTGAGAATAGGTTTCGTGCCTTGGCCTGTTCCCCCTGGTGGCCTGATGACCATCATCCTCCAGAGGCCACTGGACAGTCAGGTTTGGGCCTGCAGTGACGAGACACACGGCACCTCACCACATGGGGGTGGAGCCGACTCTTTCTCCCCATCCCAACGAGACCCCGAGTCGCCACCTACAAACGGCCTCTCTGGCTCCTGATCAAGCTGATTAATGGCCATGATACTGGAGACTCAGAAACAAATCTTGAAACCCAGAAGCTTTTGGCAGAAATGTATCTGGACTGCATACAAGGTGGCCGCCGACTCAGAGCTTATTGAAAAGCCAGGTATGAGCCGACAGTGACCGGGCAACTGCAGTCTCACAGGAAGGGGGGGTCGGTACCAGCTCATCCTTCACGCCCTACCAAGGTCACGAGTTGCCCCCACGAGCGGCTCTCTGGCACAGCTATGGCTCCAGAGACAAAAGGACTTAATCCAGAGCCTGGAAGCTTGCGGCAGAAAAGGAATGGACCATGCGTTAAACTATGGTGCCATGCCTCCCTGGGAGGGAAAGGGTGTTGCTCCCTTCTGCCTTTTTCCCCCCTGGAAGCAAGGTGGCCACCACCTCAGAGCTTTTTGGAAAGCCAGATATGAATCGGCAGTGAAGGGGCAACTGCAGTCTCATGGAAAGGGTAACGGTACAGGATCGTCCTTCACACCCTACCGAGGTCATGAGTTTCCCCCGACAAGCAGCTCTCTGGCACGGCCATGGCTCCAGAGGCAAAAGGACTTAGTCCAGAGCCCAGCAGCTTGCTGAAGAAAAGTGAATGGACCATGCGTTAAACTACGGCACCATGCCTCCCCAGGAGGGAAAGGGTGTTGCTCCTTTCCGCCTTTTCCCCCCTGTCAGCAAGGTGGCCGCCACCTGAGAGCTTATAGGAAAGCCAGGTACGAGCCGGAGGTGATGGGGCAACTGCAGTCTCATGGGAAGGGGGGCGGTACCCGCACGTCCTTCACGCCCTACCGAGGTCACGAGTTACCCCCCACCAGCGGCCCTCTGACATGGCCATAACACCAGACACAGAGAAACCAATCTCATAATTATCTGGCTCTTTGCAGAAATCCAAAATCGTGGCTGCATGACATTATATGATTCTCATAACCAGCTATAGAAAACAAAATATTTCACAATGCCTTTTCAGCAATTCTGATTGTTTGGGGGGAAATTATAAACAATAATGGTACATCTTTTATCGAAATAGTGAATGTAATCAATGTAGAGAAGAGTTAAGTAGAAATCATCTGCCTCACAGGCATTTGGAGGGGTGGGGGGTATACTGGGGTTCTTGGTGGTGAAAAATAAGTACTGGTGAAGGGAAAGGTGTTTGATTATTGTATGACCGAGACTTAAATCTGAAAGCTTAGTAACTTTTCCCACAGTGATTCAATACATAAATATAAAAAGAAAAAAATTTAAAATTTAAAAAAATTTAAAAAAGATTAAATTAAATAAATTAAATTAAATAAATTTTGAGGCTAAACTGAATAAACTGAAAGAGAAATTAAACACTGTGATTTACTAAGTTGTTAATAATATAATCATTTCAAGTACTAGATATTCCAACACCACTTCCAATTCCAACATCTTTCTTTCACCAATGTTCCCATTACCCAGCCTACCAGGAGTCATCCCTGAGTCACCCCAGAGACAGAAGAGACAGAAGTAAGCCCTGAGCATGACCGTGTCCTCAAAAACATATCTCTACCTCCATATAAATATATATATAATGTATTTATATATATGACTTTCAACAATCTATTTAGTTATTAATTCAAACCTATTGCCAATAATTTTAAAAAATTGTAGATTTACAATTTTTTGTGCTTGGGTTTGATTATACAATGATCAGATACCCATCCCTCCACCAGTGCCCATTTTCCACCAACATGGATAATATCCCCCCCCACCCCCATCCCCCCATCCCCCCCTGCCTCTGTGGCAGGATAATCCCCTGTGTTCTCTCTCTCCTTTTGGGTGTTGTGGTCTGCAAAAGAGGCATTGAGTGGCAAACATGTTCAGTCCATAGTCCACTTTCGACATGCATCTCCCCTCCTGGGAGGATCCTCCAAACACCCTTTATTTGGTTTTCCCTTCTCTATCTGAGCTGCCCTTTCCTCTAGAATGCCCGACTGGCCACTAAGCTATGGAGTAATCCTCCTGGTGCTGATCTCAGCTATTCTTGGGTATTAATCTCATATTTTGTTACTTTATGTCCCCCAGATGAATGCAATCTTTCTATGTCTATCCCTATCTTTCTATCTCATTTCGCTTAGCATGATACTTTCCATGTTGTACCACTTGTATGTAAATTTAATGACATTATCTTTTCTAACAGCTACATAGTACTCCATTGTGTAGATGTACCAAAGTTTCTTTAACCAGTCATCTGTTCTTGGGCATTCAGGTTTCTTCCAGTTTCTGGCTATTGTAAAGAGTGCTGCAATGAACAAACAAGTGCAGATGTCACTTCGACTATACATTTTTGCCTCTCTGGGATCTATTCCCAAGAGTGGTATTGCTGGGTCAAATGGGAGCTCAATTTCTAATTTTTTGAGAATCGTCCATACTGTTTTCCAGAAGGGCTGAACCAGTGGACATTCCCACCAACAGTGAAGGGGTGTCCCTTTCTTGCCACATCCATGCCAGCATCGGTTGCTGTTGTTCTTTTGAATGTGCGCCAGTCTCTGAGGTGTGAGATGGTTATCTCATTGTG